TGGACATACTTTATGAAACACCTTGTATAAATTTTTAAAAAATCTTAAAATATGTAAAACAAAAAAATAAAATATACGTGTTTAAGAGTTTTTCCCAAAAACTCCCCGGTTTTTAAATAAACAATATTCTAATATTTGAGGGGTGGTTTCACCCCCTTAGAATTTCGAAAAATCCCTTCTCATCGAATCTCTACACTCTAAAGTTAATCCGTTTTCCAAAAAACAGCTTTTTATGTCAAGCGCTTTAAACAGGATCGTGATTAATCAATGACCAGATTTTTCGAAACGCCCTGTATACATTTTTAAAAAATCTTAAAATATGTAAAAAACAAAATAAAATATACGTGTTTAAGCGTATTTTCGGAAACTTGACCGTTTTTTAAATAAAAAATATTGTAATATTTGAGGGGCGGTTTCATCCCCTTGGAACTGGAATTTAGAAAAATCCCTTCTTATCGAATCTCTATACCCTAGAATCAACCTGTATGCCAAAATTGAGCTTCTTACGTTGAGTGGTTTGAGCAAGATCGTGATTAATCAGTGAGTCAGTCACTTAAGGATTTTATATATTAGTATAGATTATTATTTATTTTATAGGGGTTCGACATGGGTTCGACCCTTTATTATTTATATTATTTACTTTATAGGAGCATTATTTCTTATTATTTTCTTGTATTTGATTTTCCGTATTCAATGCTTTACCACACGCCATTGCCAAGTTTTAAAGCTCATCAATATTGTTACGATGAATAGAATAAAAATATTTTACAGAGCCGGACTTGAAATTGTTTTAAATAAATTGTGTTTAACTGCCCAACCCAAAAAATAAATATTAGGTGTGACATATGGTTGTACCCTTGTTTATATAGGGTGAGTCTTAAATAAGTGCAAATATTTTTAGAGGTAGTATATTTCGACCTCAGAAACACGTCTGCTATGAGGTTTTCTTCGCGAAATAAAAAAAATGAAAATTCGGAATTTTTTGAAAAAAAAAAATTTGAAATTTTTTTAAAATTGAGCTAAAAAACATGAAATCTTTATACTATGGCAACATAGGTAGTAGATTAAATTTACAGGAAAAAAAACAAAAAATATCCAGTGATTCTCAAAATTTAAGCAAAAAATTATTTTTTTTAAACTTTCAATGTAAAATATCTTGTTTTTTTTGGACTTATTTGAAAAATACCTATAAAAAATACCAAGAAAATATAACTTTATTAATATATAGCTATATTTTCCGAAACACCAAGGTTAACAAAATCTATGAATGAAAGCTCATATTATCTTATACAGGGTATTTTTATGGCGTGGCCAACCCTGCAATATTTAAAATGCTCTAATTTATCTAATTTTTTTAATGCCATATCATGTACATTATTTTTCTTTTAGATGCAGAATTAAAATAGAAACATTTTTTGTCCTGTTGCTAGTCCTAGGTCTTGTTGTTGTCCACCAATGCCCATGTAAAACGTTTTGACACTCCGTTTTTTAATATTCAGTTCTAATCCCCATTTTTCATACTCCTCGATAAGTTTTCGAAGAATGTATTCCAAGTCGTCTATATCTTGTGCTACAACAACCTGGTCATCTGCGAATGACAAGATGTACGCTGTAGTATCATCATTCTACTAGTGATCCCTTATACAGGGTGCTACAAATTCGAGGTACGAGCATTGGTATCTCGGAAACCGTAATAGATACGAAGATGGTTAAATTGGGGCAAAGTTACCGTTATTGGGATGTTCACCAAGATACCATCAAAAAAGTTTTAAAAATTTGAAGGATTGCTGAGTTTTTTGGATTTTTTTGAAAATCAATTTTATTTTTATCTGCCGTTACTTTTTTGAAAATCAAAAAACTAATTACACCTTCTCATAGCAACTTTATCAGGCCTATCTGATAGAATTTTTAGATTTTCAAATTAGCTGTTAATTTGTGAGGTACAGAGGCCAACTCAATTTTTTTAAATACGGACCTGCAGTTTTTATTTCAGATTTCGAAATAACTCGGCCTCCTGAGTACAATGATGTGCCACACTTAATATTTTTTTTGTTTCCAAAATTTGAACACAATTTATTTAAACTAATTTCAAGTCCGGCTCTGTTTTCTATATAAATATTTAATCTATTCATTTGTTACAATATTGAGGAGTTTTAAAACTGAACAATGACGTGAGATAAATCATTGAATGAGGAAAATGAAATAAAATAAGATAATATAAAATAAATAAAGTAAATATAATATAAACAATAAAATAATTTCCTCGGAAGATGGATTGGGAGCGGTGGAGCAACATAATAGCCAGCAAAGTTCCTGAATCTGTGTGTTGACGTCGTTTGTAAAAGTGAAATCAATATACCTAAACATTTACAACAAAGAGTACAAAATGCATTCGGAAGTATAAGATCTGTTGAAAGGGCTATACTTAAAATTGAACGAAAAATAAATGTCTGCAATAGGGAGGGTGGTATTAAATAAACCCTTTCGAACATGTAGAGCATTAGAAATTTGTTTGTAGAAATTAATGTATTTATAATAACTAGGATTAATATTATGCATATTATTAGATCATACATTGAGATATCAAATTAACAAAAAAAAGTTAAAAATAATATATTTTAAATTGCTGACCTGGATATTATTTATTTAAATCTCTCAATTGGCTGGAATTTCCTTATTGTTGCGATGAATATAATCAGGTTAAATAATTTAAAAACCCAGAGTCGGGCTTGAAATTATTTTAAATAATAATTAAACAGTTTTGTTGTTGGTAAAGTATCTAAAACAAAAAAATATAAAGTGTAGCATATCGTTGTACTCAGGAGACTGGATTCTTTCAAAACCTCAAATAAAAAATGCAGGTCCGTATATAAAACAAAATAATTGGACCATGTATCTCACAAATTATCATATAATTTGAAAATCTAAAAATACTGTCAGATAGCCCTGACAAAGTGGCTATGAGAATGTTCAATTAGTTTTTTGATTTTCTAAAAAGTAACGACAGAAAAAAATAAAATTGATTTTCACAAAAATCAGTTTTTCTCAAAAAACTCGGCAATCCATGAAATTTTTTTGATAGCATGTTGGCAAACATCCCAAGGCGCAACTTTGCCTCAATTTAACCATCTTCGTATCTATTACGGTTTCGGAGATACCAATGCTCGTATCTCGAATTTGTAGCACCCTGTATAATATCTCTTATAACATATGCAAAATGTTCCAATATAAAATATTCCTCTTAAGGGTTTTAAGTATATATTTCTTCTTCCTCGTTCATACGGCGTAACACCTCAATATTTGTAACTTTATCGACCCAAGAAATCCGTAACATGCAGCGGCGTGCGGTGACAATTATAGGCGGGGAAGCGAATCGGTAAGTAGCAGTTAAATGTTACTATTGACATGCCTTTTTACATTTTTGTGAAAATTATTTAAATCTGTAATCCCGGCTACGTTCCAGTTAGTCTTCTCACTGATATTAAAAAGTAAACAGGGCCAACAAAATAATTTGGATAACTTATTGCAGCCGGTTAACCACTCATATTTGTCGTAAGACCCAACATGAAAATGTCTAGTGAATTTTTTTACCGACTTCTCCACTCTGGTCTCTAAATTGATAGGAACCGTTGGCCTACCACCATGTGACTTAATAATATCAGTTTTTTCTTGGAAGTTCCGACTAGAAAATCCCTTTTTTAATAACACATACAACACAGTCTACATTATTGTCCACACTAGCAGAAGCAGAAGATTGTCCTTCTTGACCCTCCATTACAAACGAAACAGTAATCCGAAAAAAATACAATATTACCTATAAAATCGCCGTACCTATAAAAAACCCGTCCCGATAAATTAAAAGTCGCGGAAGGCGGCCGAAAGATCGCTGCCGTGGCTAGCAACTGTGCGCGATTTTCAGGCTTAAATTTGTCGTTTGCGTTCGAGGTCAATAACAACTACATGAAGGAGGGATAGGCGAGCGGCAGCGATTTCCAGGCGCGCATCCATGCAGTAAAAGTCTAATCAAATTTACTACGTTTGTGTAAGGTTTCAAATAAATAATTTTAACAAATTAAATTAATCTTTTGTTATAAAATAACAGTATTATTAACGTTTAACTATTTATTTCTTTACTTTAAAAAGTTTAGGGAAGCGGTGCTTCCCCCGCTTCCGTGGACCGCACGCCGCTGGTAACATGCGATGATAACACCACCTTTCAAAAGCCACCAGTCTATTAATTTCAGCTGTTTTAAGGGTATACGCTTCAGCACCATACAATAAGGTCGAAAACACGTAACATCGGAGTATTCTTATTCTTAAATCTAAGTTTATATCTCTACTGCATAGAAATCTCTTTAGTTTTAAAAAAGAATTTCTGGCTATTTCAATCCTGGACTTTATTTCTTGTAATTGTGCAAGAATATTGTGCTTCTGCTTCCTCCAGTCTCTCTAAAAAACGTGTTTTAAAGCGTCGGGTTTCCAGTGCCGGATAGTCGCACAGCAGGTGCTCTATGGTTTCTTCTTCCGCATTCTCTGCAGTAGTTGAAAATCTTCCATCTTGATAATGTATGGGCTAATAATGTTTGATAATGTATTGCTCTAAGAAACAAAACTGTGAAGAAGTAGAAAAATATAGATATAACTTATTAATACCGATTTATATATTTTAAACCCCACTAATTTCCATAATTATTATTAATGTAAGAAACATACCATATTTTGAAGACGTTTCACCATAAAATTTAAGCTATTTAGTTTAACATTTCAAAAAGAAATAAAAGTAAAATAAAGATATTGCCAATTTTCAAAATTTAAATAACTTATTACGAGGTATTTAAATAATTTTCAATCGCATTATTTCTTTGTGAATTTTACGATAAAGACCATTTTTGATAACGTTTTATAACAAAGTTCAATTTTTTATGACTGCTGGGACTCTGACTCGGTTAAACATGTGCGTTTCAAACACGAGTCAAAATAATTAACACAATTTATTTTACAAAACAATGTTTATATTTGCCTAAGAATGTGAATAATCGAACAAATCTCTGACAGTAAAATATAAGTCATACTAATAAAAAGATCTAATCCTTAAATAAAGAAAGTTGACATTAAACGTACAAATATTATTTAATTTACAAAAAAACTACTAAATATATTTTTGTTAGAACAGAAATTATTGCGAAGCATAGTATATTTTCTAAATTTGACGTTATATTTTTACCCCTTAAAACAAAAAAAGACATTAATATGCATCAAATTAAATCGAGTACTGTACAGGTTGTCCCATTTTCGTGTGATGGGGTTTCTCGTTTATGAGTAGAGATACAAACATGCGGTTTTCACATCATTGTGCTAACTTTTTACCAAACTAAAGATGCTACACACAAATTTTTCCTAACCTTTATTCAGTGGCGCTGAAAAAAAAACCAAACCAAACTAGTTTTCGCTGGGAACTGTCATTTTCGAAAACGAGTTAAACATATTTTTTAAATGGGACATCCTATATATTATTTTTTAGTTTTGTTTACAATTTTATGAGCTTTATAAAAATGTAATATACTGTATACTTCTTTTCATAGATAAGGTAAAAAAATGCATTAGTTAAATTTTTAAGACAAATAAACTTTAAAAAATATTATTTGATTTTATTTAATTCAGAAAATTTTGCTTTCCATTGTATTATCTTAATAAACTGCACTGAAAATGAACTTGTGCAAGATAACACAATGTCAATCAGAGTTATGAATATATTGAATGCACTTCTGCAATTGATTGATATACAGAAACTAGCGTGGAATAGCCATTAACCAAAATTTGACATCGAATAAATGATTATATTATTTTGATTACCTAATTTAAGCAGACCGCCTATCTTAAATAGTTAAACAATGCATTTTTTACCTTGTTTTTAAAAATAAATAGAGTATTGAGATGACCCGCCTATTTAAAAATAGACATATTTCTATATATCCAAAACATTCAGTTTTTAAGACACTCTGTATACATAAATAAAATTATTGATTTTTAAAATATTATTCGCAAAACCAGAGAGAGGAAAATCAGACGACGAACAGAGATAATAGGTGTTAAATAATAGCTTTTAGACTACCATTCGAGACGGATTGATGTTTTTTTTTGTTAGTAAGTTTTGTGAGAACGAATGTTATTAAAGGGAAAGTAAATATTTTCCCATTATTTAACTAGTGTTAACTAAAGCATATAGCTTACTTGTGTGTTAAAGATTTTCCTTATTAACTTCATCTGAGAATTATATCATATAACATGTGTATGTATTTAATGGAATCATTATGCTGTGAATATTTTCAGTTTAAAAGTAATCTAAATACAATCGTTAACTGCCCACTCGTGCCGATGTTTCTGGTTCAGTGTGACAATAAGGACTTTGTTGAATGTACTAACATTTTTCGACCGTGAATGGGCGGATATCTTAATTCGCAAAAGGGCAACCAAAACCAATAAATAGGATAACTTATAATCTAAAGATATTTGCACCAAACCTTCAACTTAATCTTCGAGCTCCGCAACCGGGGCCTTAGTACGGGTGGGAACCCGCTAACCTAACAAAAACCTCTTCCGTGTTGAATGTAATATGTGCCATGTTTTGGAATGTATGAAACTACAAACCATTGTACGAGGACAGTTTTTGTATTATTATTATTTCTCTTTTATTAAAGTTCAGAACAACAGGAGTTGGAATCTTTAGAATAGTGATCGAGGTTTTCTCCGCCGTACACAACGAAGGTTCCTTTACTTCATTTAAATTGTTTGTTATACAGTTGGCCAAAATATTACCTCTACAACTTTGTTGAAAGACCCAGGGTTGTTATACTATTATGGTATATTTTTAGAAAGTTCATAACAAGGCAAAGAAAATAAAAAAAATAATATACATGATATTCCTTAAAAAAATGTAGTGTGTAGTAGCTCCCAGCGAAAAACTAGTTACGTCACTGGATTTAACGAGAGAAACTCTAGAGAACTCAGTTTTCACCCTTTCAATAAGCTATAAGATAACCGAGATACGAGGGGAGTCGAAAAATGCAACAATTTAAAATTCGCTCTGTATTTCGGGAACTAACAAGGTTCGGACAAATCTGTGTGTAGCACCTTCTTTTGTTTCATAAAAAAAGTAATACAGTAATGTGAAAACCGCATTCTTCTACCTCTACTCCTAAATGAGAAACCCTTTAAAATACACGAAAATGGGACACCCTGTATATTTCAAGCTGATCTCGTATCTATGTTATATGAAGAAAATACTTTCTTCTAGGCGATTTGTAAAAGTAAAATGATTACTTAATTTTACTCGTATATTTCTCATACAAATACATAATATACAGACAGCAGTTCAAACAGATTATTAAAAGCAATTTAAACTTCGTTTGACGACAGTTAAAAACACATATTGTCAGTAATTTTCTTTACATGGGAACTTGCAAAACATCTACGGATCGATACTTATTTATAGAACTAAAATTGTACAGTTTGCAATCCAAAGGTCAATAAAATATTTATCGTACAATAAAAAATGTTTTATTATACTAAAAACGTTACTCCAAAAGAATAACAAAATTGAAGATCTCAAGAATATAAAGAAAATTTCATTTGCAAGACAGAAAATTGGAAAAAAAGCTTTACTGTTATCAACAAAACGATTAATAATTAATCGTATATTATAGCTTTTTAATCCGAGACAAAATGAATACATTTTATTAATATCAAGTGGATTTATCTTGTTTTAGAATAACGTTATTTCATATCTCAATATAAACTACTCAAAACAATTATCGCATATGTTTAAAAAATATATATTAATTTACAAAACAAGACACCTTGAATTCCCTGAGTCACGTTTTTTAAAATAGTTTGGATACTGTAAAGGGAAATATTCGAGACAATAAGCCTACGCGCTGACATGCAATTTTTAGTCAGCCGACTATTTAGTTGGAACAGTAAAAACAACACATTCTCATGAAGCCGATGCGGTCAACTATTTGATTGCATGTGAGCGCCGCTTAATAAGAATATATCCGTTACAAATCTGCAACTAAATAGTCGGCCGACTAAAAATTGCCTGTCAGCGCATAGCCTAATTATCCCAAAAAAACTCGCAAGAGGAAAGCAGAAAAATGCACGGTACATTTAGAAATATGTAATAATCAGTTTTTATCAAATATGCGATAATTGTTTTGAGTAGTGTATTTAAAAGAGGTTATTTATTATCCAATATCTTTTTCATTGATGTTAGTTATTTTGCATATTTTAAGTTGATAACTGTTTTATAATCGTTTTATATAACCATGTTTAATTTAGCGTACATTAAAAAATAGATTCAGATTTTCTTCTTTTTTTCTAGAACTCTTTCAAATAAGTATACAATTTGAATAATATTTAACATTAAGGACATTAAACATTTTAGACTGGTTAAAAGTTTACGAACAATAGCTCATAATAAACAGTTATAATTGCAGTTGGGGCTTGGAACCTTTGGTGTTACAACAGCAAAATAAAACACTAATTCGCCACAATAAACCAAAACAATTTACTTGCAATGGTCGCGCGTTTCAGTAGATGATTAAAACTAAGTTTTTAAAATTAAGTGTTACTTATCTGCTGATAATGCTAACATGGTTAGCAAAACGCGCGTCCGGTGTTTAAAAGTAAAGTGTTTTGGTGGATTGTAGTGAATTAATGTTTTATGTTGCAACAGCTATAATATTAAAAAAATCTCCTACTAAAAACATAATTTGTCACCTATTATAAAAATACTTAAATGCAACTGTTTGCTCTCGTATTAAAAGATACCAGATCGTATCCTTTAACTCGAATTATAAAGTATATATCAAAAAGTTTCCCGGACGCATATTTTACAAACGATGTAGTGCTTAAAAACCATCTATTTAATGATGCTTAGCAGCTGTTTAGCAAAATATGCGCGTTGACAAAAAATACGTATGCAATATCAAAACTAAAAAAAAATCTAATTGGGTCAAAACAAACCTAATTACGCTTCGCAACGTTAAAAATAAACAAGACACAGAAAAATAAATTTATAGTCGAATAATAAATGGACCGAGTGGTCACGCTCAAGCCGTGTTTGGCTTTGCAGTTGAAGTCGCTTTTAGCGATTTTGAAAATTTTGTTCAATGTCGAAGAGGTACTTAGGAGGGTTTTTAGTACCGAGCCTTCATGTAAATGCAGGCGCAGTCGTGCTCGTCGTAACCCAACTTTCTCGAATGTTTGTAGACCTCGTTGGCAGCTGAAGCCATCATCAACGGCTGCATGAACTCGTCGGAAAGACCCAAGGCGAGTTTGATGTCTTTCTGCATGTTCTGGATCGAGTGCTCAACCTGTAATAAGAAGAACACAAATTTAGCTATATACTGTGGTTTACGATTCGGGGAAGATTTCTCTAAAAAAAGTTTCTAGTATTTTTTAAGTTAATTATGGATATCCCTATCAATAATATATCTATCAATAATAATATATCACACGATACCAATACGAAAACTTTAGTGTATACTTATTTGGTATTTAATAATAATAGCTCTCGTATATAGCGTTTAACGCCTTGGGAGTAGCAAGATACAGCTTGCCATGCTAGAGCCGTTAAAGAAGAAAGTAAAGAATTTTGTAAAATATATCAGAAAAAGTGATAATATATACAGTGTACCGTTTAAAAAAATTGCGAATTTTTAATTTTAAGTAGTTGAAATTCATAAATCTATTTTGAACACCCTGTAACATCAAACTGAAATATATTTACATATATCTATTTCAATATCTCTATGAAATTCTCCTACCAAATTTTAGTTGTGCAACTTTAGAAACAGTGGCATTATTGACAATTTATCACATTGAAATTTAACATTTGTTGAAACAAATTGAAATATTACAAAAACTAGGTATATAACATTATACAGGGTGGTCCGAACTGTATTCCGGAAACTTCGGCAATATATTGTGGAGATAAAAATAAGTAAAAAAGTTCGTATAAATGTATGTCCTAAAATATTTAGTTTCGGAGATGGTGTAGAAGTTTCATTTTTATTTCAAGTAACGTCAATATTTGGATGAAAATTGGTGACATGAGAAATTTGATTTTGACATCAATATGACTCCTACTAGTAGAGGGCGCCACCTACATATTTTTCAACTGGTTTAAAGAGTAATAACTTTTCGTCCGTACCTGTATAAAACTACTAAGTAAAAAAAAATATACATTTACGACGCACAGAGGGGCCTAGACCCATAAAAGTTACCAGAAAGTCGAAAATTGAAATATGAGATTTAAGCAAAAAAATACTCGCAAACTATGCAAAATTCTTCTCTTTATTTGATCATGCCAGCCCTGGATCAGCATCTCCAGTAGAACACCTGCTGCAGCTTGTCAAAGTTGACAAAAATCCAAACGTAATAAATTAATATTTTTTAATGAAAATATTGCTCAATTTCAAAGTGGTATTTCTTTATAACGAAATATAATAAAATTAAAATTTAAATGGCTAACACTAACTCCGGTAAGTGTAGATTATTTCTATAGAAACTGTTTTTGGATACTTTGATAGCTTGAGCAAAATAATTAGGTTACAGTTAAAAGTGAACAAATTCTGCAAAACAATTTAAAGTTGTTGATTTATCTGTCCAAAAAGTTAATGATACCTTTATATTCCCCAAGCACTTTAATTAATTGTTAATATACAAGCTCTTACCTTTAATTTGGTTCTAAAACTTACTGCTGTTTTGTGCTGATTAACTAGAAAATTATAAATTTGAAATTTGAATACATAGGAATAGGACCCAACATAACATATTATTTTTGCAATATAATTTTTCCATATCATTTTTGTTTTTTTTTAGACTTAAATATTGAAATAAGCTACAGTGATTTGTGAAAAACAACAAAGAATGCTCATCAAGGTTTTAAGGCCTTTAAGACGTTTAGAAGTTAAATAAATTTATTATTTGCTTGTATAAAATGCATTAGCTTTTGACATACCTCGGCTGATGTCTCGTACTATAATAAAATCTTTTAAATCTTTTGACAAAATATTATTTTACGACTTAAGAAAGCATTTAGAAGCAGTTTTAATAGATATGAAATAAAATTAGATTTTTCGGTATCTTTTCGGGCTCGCTGCCCCACTGTGCGACGTTTTGTACATGAAAAAGGTCTCTTGGTAAAAATCGCTAAGAGTAATGGTTTTCGAGATATTTGGAATCGAAATTATTATTACCTGTCATCCTTGACATAAATTAAACATGTTGACGAAGAGAAATAGTTATTAGACTGAAATCATAAATTTGAACTGTTTTTGTGACAAAAGTTCAACAGAAACTGTTTTATTATCATTTTTTGCAGAAAAATTTATGATTAATTTAAAAAAATAAAAATTTCCCAAATTTATTATTTCAGTGAAGTATAACTATTTACTCAACATGTTTATTTTTCGTCAATAATGACATGTATTGACTATTTCCATTCTAAATATCTTAAGAACGGTTGCTCGTAGCGATTACAAAGAGATATGTTTTACGTAAAAAGTCACAGAGATGTATATTTTTTCGCTCGGTAGTTTTATACAGGGAAGGACAAAAAGTTATTACGCTTCAAAACAGTTAAAACACATGTAGGTGGCGCCCTCTACTAGTAGGAATCATATTGACATCAAAATCAAATTTCTCATGTCAAAAAACTTCTAGACACCAATTTTCATCCATATATTGGGGTTATTTCAGAAATTATTTGGAAAAAATCGAAATAAAAATGAAACTTCTACACCCTGTATCTCCGAAACTAAGCATTTTAGGACATACCTTTATACGAACATTTTTACTTATTTTTATCTGCAGAATTTGCGGCCGAAGTTTTCGGAATACAATTCGGACCACCCTGTATATAAAAAGGTTATGGAATTTTACGCAGAATCTAAAAATAATAAAAAATTACTGTTGCATTTAAAAAAAACATATGTTATATCAGCCACGCTTTTATGAAGCAACCTGTATACTCTATAATAATTTTAAAATATGTATCTTAACTAGGGAATGCAATCCCGCAAATGCTGGATGCCGCAAATGCGGGATCTCTCTGAGATTCCGCGGGATCAAAGTTGCGGGATTTACCGTGCGGGATCCGCGGGATCAACACATTACTACTGGGCAACCAAGTCGATCTCGATTAAGATCAAACCGCTTCGTTCCGGGCCGATGCGTCGACGCTCGGAACCAGGGGGATTCCCTTTACGGCTTGGCCATTAAAAATAAGTGAAACAAACAGGCTAGTTGTTAGATTTCTTTCTGGTGTATGTACGTAAGTGAAGAAAAGCGTTTAACTAGTACTTGAGGACAATTTCGTCGTTTACGTAAATTTAAAGTTGAATATCTCTTGAACTAAAAAAGATTTTGGGATGCGGTTTGGACCAGGTTTTAGATGAATCTATTGTGATTAAGATGCTGATGTGGTTTTTAAATTTTTAAAAAATCGAAATTTTTACCAAATACGACGAATTTGTATTGAAATTGAACAATTCAAGAAAAAACAATTTGATCGGTTTTTTAATTTTTTTTGTTTTAAGGAAAATACGACGTTTTTTTTCGAAAAATATGCATTTTTAGTCATACGTATGGCCCTAAATGGTACAAAAAGCTTTGTACATTCTGCATATGCCAAAAACTTATTGATATAGAGTGTATCTAAAAAGCAGATAACTAACACAAGTTAAAAAAAAATTTCAATCAGAATAATATTTTTATTTATAAAATAAGTAGATAAATTATAATAAAATTTAAGTTTATTTAATATTAAATATATTTTTTTAACACCCTGTATACATCGGTGTCCAAATTTCTGTACAGCTAGTTTAAGATACACGCTATATCAATATATTGTGGGCCTATGCAAAATGTACTATGCCTTTTGTACCATTTAGGACCAAATGTATGACTATTGTTTATAGTCCCGCAATTTTGCGGATCCGCGGGATTGATTGCTTTAATCCCGCGGGTTTGCCGGATTGATATTTTGGTGCGGGATTGCATTCCCTAATCTTAACCTTCCCTATAACTTTTATATTTAACTTTTTTTTAAACCTCGAAACAAATGAGATAAAGCACTTTACTCTATCGTTGACTCACCCTGTACAGAGAAATTGTAAATATAATTGGTTAATCATACTTTCTTTCTATGAAAACGAGTTTTTTAAACAATTTTTTTTAATAACGGTAAAAAATAAATTTGGTATATGGTAATTATTGCATTTAAATTTCTGTTACCATAAAATGACCTATACAGGGTCGTCCGAACTGTATTCCGGAAACTTTGGCAGTATATTCTGCAGATAAAAATAAGTAAAAAAGTTTGTATAAATGTATGTCCTAAAATGCTTACTTTTGGAGATACAGGGTGTAGAAGTTTCATTTTTATTTCGATTTTTTCCAAATTTCTGAAGTAACTTCAATATTTGGATGAAAATTGGCGCCTGGGAGTTTTTTGACATGAGAAATTTGATTTTGGTGTCAATATGACTCCTAATTGTAGAGGGCGCCACCTACAAATTTTTTAACTGGTTTGAAGAGTAATAATTTTTCGTCCGTACCTGTATAAAACTATTGAGTAAAAAATATACATTTACGACGTTTTTTACGTAAGAAAGGTCTCTCTCGATATATTTGGAATCGAAATTATCAAAACCTGTCATGATTGACATAAATTAAACATGTTGACTAAATAGTTATTAGACTGAAATCATAAATTTGAAATGTTTTTGTGCCAAAAGTTTAACAGAAACTGTTTTATGATCATTTATTCGCAGAAAAATTTATGATCAATTTAAAAAAAAATAAAAATTTCCGAAATTTAATATTTCAGTCAAACAACTATCTACTCTGTCAATAATGACATGAATTGACTATTTCCATTCTAAATATCTTGAGAACGGTTGCTCGTAGCGATTTTTACCAAGAGACATTTTTACGTAAAAATCACGGAAATAAATATTTTTTCACTCGGTAGTTTTATACAGGTACGGACGAAAAGTTATTACTGTTCAAAACAGTTAAAACATATGTAGGTGGCGCCCCCTACAAAGAGGAGTCAGAGTGACATCAAAATCACACCCTCAACACCCTGTATCTCCAAAACTAAGCATTTTCGAACATACATTTATACGAACTTTTTTACTTATTTTTATCTGCAAAATATGCGGCCGAAGTTTCCGGAATACAATTCGGACCACCCTGTATATTTTATGACTTGAGAAAAAATTCCATATGTTATAGATTTGTATACATTTGCCTCTTCATGACGCGCTTTAGTCACTAATCAGGAAAAACAGTAATCTCTTACATT